AATGAAATGTTGCTTTGGGCTTGCTCAAAACTTTAATTGCAACAAAACGGCCGCTGCGTAACTTTCCTTTAAATACGGAGCCAAAGCCGCCTTCGCCCAACTTATCATTAAACTTGCGAGTCATCTTCTTAATTTCTGAGTAAGAGTACCTTATAGGCATGAAGTTGTTATTGCATTGCAGAAAGTCTTCTATTGTACTGTACATTGACCAATGTCTTCTGCGCCATTTATATACTAAAAATACAGTCACAACTGGAACCCCAAACAGTAGTCTTACTAGAAAAAATAACCCTGCATAAAAAATATACCACCAAAAGAATCATAAGAACAGAAACTTATTTGTCAAATCCACACTAATTTAAACTTTTTTCTTGTTTTGAGGTAAGCTTCAGATCAAGCCACTCTTTAATGAATGATATAATTTAAGACTCTTATAAAAAAAAGGGTGAAGTGCTTATTTAGTCCTCGAATTATCACCTCGGTGAAAATTAGGTCCCTAATTTTTATTTTTTTGGTAAAATAAGTCCCTAGCTAAATCCATTAAAAATTGCTAATTTCATCCCTACTATTATATTCAAAGCTATTTTATCCAATTTTTCATCAACTTAAGTCACTTGACACGCTTTAGAGTGTAATACTTTTTTTCTTGCCTATACACCCCTAACATTTCATATAGGTTGCGAATCTAATGTCTAATTTACTCTCCAAAGTTAACTCCACACACTTTTTCTTTATAAAAACAAAAAATGAGAAATTAGGTTCACATCCTTCTTTTTGTTACTCCATTGATTAAAATCCTATTCATTTTCAATTTTTTATCAAGGTCATTGGGTATTAATAACATCATTAAATATTTGAATAATAAAATATTTTTATTTTTAAAATATATTCCTTTAGTGTTAAAAATGTTACAATTAGTATATTTATATTTATGGCTAAATTTTTTATTATATATTTTTATTTTTAGTTTGTACCTATTTTTAATTTGTACCAATTTTCTTTTCATTTTTAATTTGTACCCATTTATTAGTTTCTTTTTGTGCCCATATTTTTTAAAGTTTTATTTGTGTTTGTACCCATGTGTATACCGTCATGTGACATTGTATATTTAATAAATGATAGAAAAATTACATATGGTATATTTATGTTTTATGCCTAAACTTTGTATCATATATTTATATTTTTAGTTTGTACCCACTTTTAATTGGGAGTTTTAATGTACCCATTCTTCTTTATTAATGTACCACTTTGTTATATTTGAAATGTACCAATTTTTTTAACACTATGGATGCATTCTTTTGCCATTTCTTATTTCTTATTTTTGCATAGTTTTTATCCATTTATTCAATCAAAATGTTTGAATTTTTTTATTGTAACCGTTTCTAATAGTATTATAATGGGGATTTTAAATTTATAGGATTATAAATCTCATAAAATATCAAACAATTAATGTCAAAACTATAAAAATATTAATAGTAATAGTAATATAATGAGGTGTACAAAGTCAAGGGACTTTGATCAAACTTTGAATATTATTAAGGTTTTAATCAAAGAATGTTAAGGATTAGGGATCACATCCAAAGTATCCCAAAAAAAAAAAATACTAATATACCTTCCAATGTGTATCATATGCAATTAACGTGACTTAAATTGACGGAAAATTATATATAGTAGCTTCGAATATAATATTAAGGATGTAATTAGCATATTTATATAATTCAAGAACTGATTTTTTTGAAAATATAGTTTAGGGATCTAATTTTCAGTCATGTGATAATTCAAGAACTAAATTAGCAGCTCTCCTTATAAAAAAAATATTTTAATAAAAAGATAAATTAAACAAGTTCTGAGTCCCCAAATCATTTCCACCACCCTTCCCTTCCCGCATTGGCCGACTTCCTTCTCGGAGACCTACACCGGCCACCCTACCCCACCCCTAACCATTCATCCTTCCCTCACGTGTCTCTTTCCCTTTCTCTTTCTTTCTTATTGTTTCTTTCTCCTTTTATTGCTCCTCCTCTCTTATGCCGGAGAAGGACACAAGGGACACCGGCAACCTCACAAGCTCTTAAATCGGAGGCCGGTGACAGCAAATCTGAGGTGTCACGGACCACCCTCGAGTTCCATGTCAGAATAAGAGTGGTAGAGAACGAGAGGGAAGAGGAGAAAGAAAAAGAAAAGTTAAAGCCTTTGGAATACGAGTAGTCTTGATAACCCATGAATTTTTTGTACAGTTTATTTGATTTCAGTCATGAGAAGTTGGAATCTATGCTAAAAATGGACATGCACACAAATACATATATACAATAATTCTTACCGATGCCCATGAGTATACCCCATCCACGCACTGCAACAAAAATAGCAAAAAGTAAAAACCAAATGGAAATGGTAAGACCGTAACGGCTCAGAGTTTGAAAAGTGAATAAAAATCAAAGACTTGACTATATATTCAAGAAATACAAGCTCTTGGGGGAGAAAGTCCCTACCCATGGATTTGAATGGTAACCATCGAGGAAAGTTTCCTGCAATATATACCACACAAAATTCATCAACGACATACTAGAATATTTGTGAGAAGTGCATATAGAATGACATGTGGCAAAGAAATAAATTAGCATTGAATTGAGAGTGAAAGTCCTTACGAGAATTCACGTTTTTACGCATATAATAACCTGCAGTGACAAAGGTGAAAATGCACAACTTTAATTAGCAATACCACAGCGAGTTTATTAGATTTTAAAATCAACAAGTTTTGAAACATATATTTTCAAGCAACAATCACCAAGAAATTATAGTTTTAATTTGCATTAGTATTCTTCCTATAAACGCTTTTGGTAATTGGTATATGACCAACAAATGCCAAATTTCAATGATGATTTAGTTTTACTGCATATGCCATGTTCACGTATAATTGTTGGAAAATGTCTCATGTTTGAATCTAATGACAAAAGTCAGAGGCTTGTGTGTACTCCTAAATCGTAAACATTGAATTTGAAAGAGAAACAAAAAATAGATGTTTTTCTTTTCTTTTTGTTTGTTCGTTTTGTTTTGTTTCGGAGAGGGACCACTTACTGAATTGATCCCACAGGTATCGAAATAAACCTACAGTAAAACAAGAAAACAACATTAGCACAACAGCAGTTAGAAAATAAAATTCAAGTTGCTGCCATTGTTGATACCTGTATAGCATATGAAATAGAGCAACATATAATTCATTTGTCATATAATTGATTGCGGAATTAAGATTTAGTGTTGGGAAATGGCCATACTTTATATTTAGTTTAACATCTCCAACAACACTTTATATTTTAACAAAGTCACGCTATACTTTAACAAACTCTAAATATTTTAATATTTAAACAACCCATATTTCTCATCCTTCACTCTTTGAATTCTCCCTCCTCCTCTTTAAAATATATTAACTATTCACAAAACAAAAACAAAGAGTGGGATATAGAATCTCTTGGAGCTTGACTTTCTTAGTATGGCTGTTTAATCTAGCGTCCCAATAGATTTAAAGAGTCTCTTGGAGATGTTCTCGAGATAGAAATATAAAACCAACCATAATTTAGATAAGAGTCTAGATAGAATGAAATGTCTAAATCACCCTTATACAGATATATTGCATTTAGATGATATATAGATATTGTATCAGCATTGTGTACATATTGCTGATGATATGATATCCATAAGAATGGATTTGGATCCCATCTGGATTCAAATGGTGGAGATTTTAGCGATCCTCATATCTTAGCCGTTCATCGTATATCGTGCGGTTAGAAATTATTTGAATTTTTTTATTTAAAATTATATACAAATAGTACCTGTCAAAAACTGATCGCACAATATACAATAAACGGCTAAGATATGAAGATCCTTAGAATCCCCATCATTTAGATCTGGATGGGATCCTCATCCCATAAGAATATCTATATCTATTTATATATTGTTGACATGGTATAAAAATTGTCGATATTGTTCAAGCATAAAAAGAAAGAAAACTAATGAAAATGGTTTGAAAATTTTGAATTTTAACAAAAATGACAAAATAAAGATTAAAGTGAATAGTACATGATTGACTTTTTAGTATAAAAATATAATTTTTCGTTAAAGCAAATAATACCACAAGTTTTTCGTTAAAGTTCCTTAAAAAAAATGGCTAGCTCCCTGTCACAAGCAAGAGGCTCCGCAAAGGAAGAACGTCAGATCGATTGGAGATTGAACTGGAACAAGTTGGGATCAAGCCCGGCTGTTTAAGAGAGTGAGAGCTGTAGAGAGGTATATCCATGAGAAGCAAATTTTCTCAAACATATTGTGGATGGATAGAATTTGACTTGGTGGTGAGGAAAACATAAGGGTAGTGATATTTCATACAACTATTTTTACCTCTTCCACACCTCTCTTAATTTTTGGTCCTCGGATCGAATATTGAAAAATATCAATGAATAAAAATTAACAGAAGTGTGTGAGAGATAAAAAGGGATGTATGAATAACACTATCCAAAACATAATAAGGTAATACTTCATTTGAGAATTACGCACCTGAGACGGTCTGTGGAAAACATTTAGGACGAGGAGTGGCAGACCTATAGCCTTTGCAGGATGGCCCAAATTCATCTGGCCAATATACTCGAAGCTCAAAGCCATACATGAGTGCACTATGTATATATTCATAAGAGGCCTTGTAGTACTACTCCTTAGAGTAGTCCAAGAGCATCAAAGCAATCCACTCGGCTCCGCAACCCTCCTCCAAATCCCCTACTTCCATATCGTCTGGGCCAACCTTGACATAACTATATGATTTTGGTTGAATCAAAGAAGTGGCACTATTATTCAAGCATGGAGCAGTATCCACGTACAGAGAAGAATTCATTTTGTTTCTACACCTCAAGTAAACTATTGATGTTGAAAGTGGAAGATGAGTGGCGGTATCATACGAATATGGCTCGCTTATGTAGGATGGCGAATTTCTTCCAGAATCATTTTTCTTAGGATAAAAATCTCTTCCAGAATCTACAATCTTGTTCAAAGATGTATGATGTCTTATCAGTTCCGTTTGGCAATTGGGTGGGTAATGGCCGTGTTCTTCAATTCAAATGGTCGAAACCAAATTGTACAGAATGTGAAGCAGAGGGAAAGAGGTGTAGATGGAAGAACAATGGCACCAACAGTGAAATTGAATGTCAACACGTGAGGAAACCAAGTAAGGAGAACATTATATTCATTGCTAGTTTTAAACATCGTTACATTTATGTCTCAGTAATTATTATTTGAAGGATGTTGTCACTTGTCCGAACCATTTTTCTTAGGATAAAAATTGTTCGTCCCGATTTAAGTTGCAATTATCTTTTACAGGCAACACATGGAAATTAGTGGTTACAGGTGGAATCCTGGGATCTTTGCTTCTTGTTCTACTGATGATTGCAGCATATCGGGTATATAGAGCTGATAGGAAGGAAAAAGAGAGTCGATTAAGAATTGAAAGATTCTTGGAGGATTACAAAGCACTCAAACCAAGCAGGTACTTGTACGCGGATATTAGGAGGATTACAAATCAATTCAAGGGCAAGTTGGGCCAAGGAGCCTATGGAACTGTCTTCAAAGGAAAGCTCTCTTCCGAGTTCTTTATTGCTGTCAAAGTCCTCAACAGTTCTAAGGGAGATGGGGAAGAGTTCGTAAATGAAGTGCGAACGATGGGTCAAATCCACCACGTCAACGTGGCTCGCTTGGTTGGATTTTGTGCTGATGGATTTGTACGAGCTCTTGTTTATGAATTCTTCCCCAATGGTTCCTTGCAGGATTTCATTTCATCTGCAGATAGTAAGAATTTCTTTCTTGGTTGGGATAAGTTGCAAGATATTGCACTAGGAATAGCCAAAGGAATTGACTATCTTCATCAAGGATGCGATCAACGAATCCTGCATTTCGATATCAAGCCCCATAATATTTTGCTAGACCAAAACTTCACTCCAAAAATTTCTGATTTTGGTTTGGCCAAGTTATGTTCCAAGGATCAAAGCATGGTGTCTATGACTACAGCTAGGGGGACCATGGGGTACATTGCACCCGAAGTGTTCTCCAGGAATTTCGGAAATGTGTCTTACAAGGCAGACGTTTATAGCTTTGGAATGCTGCTGATCGAGATGGTAGGAGGAAGGAAGAATATTGGTTCAACCATAGAGAACACCATAAATGAAATTTACTATCCACAGTGGATTTATAATCTTCTAGAGGAAGGGGATGACCTACGAATCCATATTGGGGACGAAGGAGATGGTAAAATTCCAAAGAAACTTGCAATTGTAGGGCTATGGTGTATCCAATGGCACCCGGTGGATCGTCCTGCCATGAAAACAGCGGTTCAGATGTTAGAAGGAGAAGGAGAAAGCTTGACCATGCCGCCTAATCCCTTTGCGCCTACAGGTCCTACAACTAGAAATGGGAGCATTCCAGCAAGGCGCCTAGAGTTGGAAGCAATTGCTGAACTAGAGTAGATATGTGTGTGTATGAACACCAATGTATGTAAGATACTAAGATTAACATTGAACGTGCAATCTTTCAGACCTAAATTAAGGGAATCTTTTTTTTTTTTTTTTTTTTTCCAACACCTGTATGCTGTATGTTTCAACAATTTGAGGTACTCAAATTCATGGAATGTAAATCAACTAAAAATTGAAAGATTTTGGAATTATGTGTGGTGTCTGAAGATATGTACTTTTATTAAATTTATAAGGAAGATGAGAATGGAGTGTAACAGTTTCAACGGTTTGTGAAGGAGAGTGATTTTCAAATATTATTTCCTTCCACTGCACATTCATGTTTATTTTTTGTCATTGAATTGGATATATTAAAGAACAAAAAAAATAAAAATTGTTGATGTACAAAATCAACGAGAATTTTGGTACAACATAAAGTGTCGAGTTTGTGACTGATCATTAATTTATCAAAAAAAGAAAAAAAAAAGAATTTGCCAAAAAAAAAAAACACAAAGAAAGTGAGGGAATTTAATTTGAAGTAGTACCTCTAATTGTTACTGATCATTTGGGGGGAAAGTATCAGTTGCTGCTGCTTCAGCTAGGGAACACTTGAATGGAGCTGGGAGACTGGGTTTTGGGGAGAAATGCTGGGTGTGTAAGTGTCGCCGCTTAGAAGATGCAGGTCAGCGTCTGAACGTCGTTGCCGTCAAATCCGGCTCCTCCTTCGGCAAAATCACCTCCAGGAGCTACGAGTTCATCAACGTCGTTCCCGTCCAATCCGGCTCCTCCTTGTGGCAGAGCTGGTACTTCGTGGACCTGCACTTTACCATCGAGTTTGAAATCGCTCGGCCGTCGAGCCAGTACTCACGGCTGCTGCAGTTTTTGCCAAGGAACTTCGTTGACAGCTTGGAGGATGTGAAGCATATTGTACAAGTCATGTGCAACGCGACAAAGAGATCATCGAGGAGCACATATCTCTTCGTGCCTCCCGTGAAGTAAAAAGGCAGCCCATTGATATGACGGAGAAGAAGGTCAGATGATGGGTGAGAAATGAATAGAGATCTACAGTCCTTCCCCTCTCCATCTGAAGCGTAACGGACCAAATAAACGGCAAGACTTGACGTCAGGGTTAAAATTGGAAGCTTGGTAAATTATATTCCTTGAGCTAGTCTTATTGGGCCGATTTGATGTTGGACTTTATCATAACCATTAAATAAACTTATAGAGTTTGTTTGGTACTCTAGTTGAATTCAACTTTTTGAACTAAAAAATAATTTTCAAGTTTTAAGCCTTAAAAACTTATTTGTTAGGATTATTTTAAAAAACTGAACTGAAGACTAACTCAAAAATATAGTCTATTATCTAAAAACATAAAAAGTGAGTTTTTAGAGTTTTTAAACTTAAACTCACTCCTTTCTTTTCTTTCTCTCCTCCCCTCTCACTCCAAATATATCTCTCTTTTCTTCTTTCTCTCTCCCCCTTCTCTTTTTTTTTTTTTTTTACCTTTTTCTTTTCTCTCCAATCCGCTCTATTCATTCTCTCGGTTCTTTCTCTCACTTCTCTTCCCCCTATCTCCTCTGATCCTCTGACTTCTTTCTCTTTCCTCCAATCATCTCTTATTTTCTTTCCTCCTTTCTCCTCTTTCTCTCTCAACCCCTTCTTTTTGGATTTTTTTTTATCAATTTAAGTTGTAAGACTTAAATTTTTTAAATCGCATATCAAAAAAGTTTTTGAGTCTTAGAAAATTGTTTTTAAGAAAAATTCTTAAGAAATGTTTTGAAGAATTATAAAAAAATTTAAATAGGATACCAAACAAGCCCAATTTTTTTGTTAAGATTCAAAGTTTTAAAACATTTTTCATTAGTTTTCCTTTAATGTATTACTTAATGGAGGTCTGACATTGCAATGAATTTATAAATTGAGATATGACATTGCAATATTTAAAACATGAGGTATGAGATTGTGGTACGACTCATAGTTGAGATTGTGGTACGACTCATAGTTGAGATATTTTTGTATAATTTACCCAAAAATCCCAAGTACTATTTATGCAATTTTCTCTTTTCCATAATCTTGTCGGATAATGGAGAGATTTTCTCACACACCATTCACCACATGGCAGTCACTCATCAGATGGTTAGAGTACTTTCTGAACACATGGCAAGATTTTATTTGACAGTGACGCCATATGGACTAAACACCGGTTTCAATGAGTCTCTCCAGCTAATGATGCCACTTGTATGATCACATATAGGCATATTGGAGCAGCAAGCAACTTATATTGAATGAGTACACTGGCAAGATGATGATACTTTGACCTATAAAATAATGTCACGTGTTTAAACTTTGCATGTCATTTTTATTGAACCAAAACCTTACGGTGCCAATGCCCTAACCAACTTGCCTAATTTTCTCCAACATATTGATATTGGATTGGGCATACACATATCCATCCAGATACTGACAGTCTGTTCATCTCATCCATTACTTTTGCATTTATGATCTTTCAAAGTTTCTAGGTTCTCAATTTCCCATTCAAATCGATATGTTTTGTAACATTATTTTTCTTTTCTTTTTTCCATTACTTCTGCATATTAAGAGTGATAATTGTGAGACATAGTGAGATTATAATGATGAATTATTAGTGAGAATTCACTTTTTCTTGAACTATAATCACTTTAAGATGAGTTATGTTACCAACTAGAGAGATTGATCCAGTCACATCTCTTTCAGAATGTTGAAATACGTCTCAAAGTTTAATGCATACCTCAACCAAAATTAAACAAAGATAATGTTGATTACACATTAATCAATATGAGGAAATGAACAAACTACAAGAAAAGAAACTATTGGCAAGTGTTGAATTGTTCTGATAATTAAAGTGTTCTTCTTCAACCTACTGTACCTCGAATGTAAACTTTTTTTGTTTTTTTAATGTAAATTAACCTAGAATATCGCTTATAATTAGAAGAAGAAAAAAAAAGGGGAACCATTGAATTTTCTTCGAAGTCTAGATTGTAGTTCTTCTCTAATTTTCCATGAGGTTTCACTCCGAAGTCTGTATTAATTGAACGATTCAAGGTCTTCCACTCAAAACAAAGATGTCCAAGTGAAGTGGGCTCTTACCATTGACCTGCAAGGCGCACAACCATAATTATTGACCCCATAAAGTATGCATGCCAATGAAAAGCAAAATCAGTCGGTTCCTTCTTTGCTGATTAGTATGAGCCAAATAATAGGGATTTGGATCCTTTCCTGAGCTCAGCATCCTGAGCCTAGTAAGCAAATCACACGGGTCGTTAAATTTTGAATCATGGCTACAATTATTATAATTTTTAGAGGAATCTTCTGTTTGTAACCATTGGATTTTGATCTAATGATCCGTTTGATTTGCTTAATAAGCTCAGGATGCTAAGCTGAGGAGAGGATCTAAATCCAAATAATAGAGCCACTTGCCTAAGCACAAGTGGCATGGTTAGCTTTTCAGTTTTCACTAATATGAGTTCTACATTGGATCCACGAGCAAATTTGTCATTTCATGGTTTCACCTAAGCTATGTCGTGTTTTGTCTATGACTCTATTAAACTCCACAAGCAAATTTATTTTTTCATCGAGTTATATACTTTTATACATAAGTCATTTAAAAAAGCGTTATAACATTAGTCACGTAAATGAGTGTTGTACCAAAAAAAAAATCTCTTTGTTATAGGCCTATTTGATTGAACGATTTAGGGTTTAGAGAGAGAGGGTGGCTGGCTATGGTTAGAGAGAAAAAAGATTGATTTAATTGTGAGGTGTGTTTGATTCACCCCATTGTGCCTTTATTTATAGTAGTAGGATAAGTAAAAACCTTTCCTTTTAGGATTACAACATTTAATAGGTAATCTACTCCTAATAGGAATATAAGATATTTTCCCATATCCTCTAGGATTTACACAATCACATTCCTATTCTAAATATGACTACAACGCTCCCCCTTGAGTGTGTAAATACTCAACAAACCATTGCATCAGATCTTCAGCATATAAGGTATAATAGTTGATGAAGTCATCGGCACAATGGGTGATCGCGAGTCTCAAATTTAATTTGAAGTATGCATTTGTAGTAAAACTCCCAAATCCTTGCTATGGTAAAACTCAAGGCATGGGAAAAAACAAACGTCAAACAGGACGAAAGTAGTGAACTCAACGGAGTATGATCATCTCAGGATGGGTGCCTCATTAAAACCTCGTTAGGTAGCAAAAACCCAATGGGAAAAATGCTCCTAATCGTAGGAAAAAAAGTACATTAAGATCATGTGAGTATGCTTCTAGATACTTCCCATGAGTTAGACATAACTTCTAAATAAGAGAACTACAAGCGATTCAACTCAGATAATTTACGCATACTGACACACCCCAACCCGGAATGTCAACTAGGACCCTAAATCGAGCTGTGTTGGCTTCGTCACTTGGAAATTGGTATCAGAGCCTAACCCTGACCGTGGTGTGCCGACGAGGACGTCGGGCCCCTAAAGGGGTGGATTATGACATCCCACATCGCCTAGGGGAGTGATCCTTATATGTATATTCCTATCCCTACTTAGCACGAGGCCTTTTGGAAGCTCACTAGCATCGGGTTCCATCGGAACTTTGAAGGTAAGCGAGTAACACGCGAAAGCAATCCCATGATAGGTGACCCACTAGGAAGTTGCTTGTGAGTTCCCAAAAACAAAACCATGATAACATAGTCGGGGCCCAAAGCAGACAATATTGTGCTACTGTGGTGGAGCGGGCCCGGGAAGTGATCCGCCCAGGGTCGGGATGTGACACATACTGATTCCTTGGACGAGCTTTTGAAAAGTAGACTTGGGAAATGACTTGGTGAAAAGATCAGCCAAGTTGTCCTGGGAACGGATTTGCTTGACTTCAATGTTCTAATGCTACTATTGCTAGTGTAAGTAAAAGAACTTCGGCGCTATGTGCTTGGTGTTGTCTCCTTTGATGTATCCCTTCTTCAACTACTCGATACATGCTGCATTGTCTTCAAAGATCGTCATAGGAAGGCAACGACTTATGTAAAACCACTAGTGTTTCGTATATGCTCCATAACTTCTCTTAGCCAAAAGCAATAACACGATGCTTCATGTAGGGCGAGAATCTCAACATGGTTAGACGAAGTCGCAACTAGCGTTTTCTTGGTAGACCTCCAAGATATAGTGGTGTTTCCAACGGTAAAAACATAGCCTGTTTGAGAACGTGCCCTATATGGGTCAGACAGATATCCAACATCTGCGTAACCAACAGGGCGAGAATCAATCCGAGGACCATAGGGGGCGGCAACACTCGAAGATTCGTGGGTATAGAACAAGCCCAAATCCGTAATACCCTTGAGGTAGCGAAAAATGTCTTTAACACCATTCAAGTGCCTGTGTGTGGGCGCATTGCTATATCTTGCCAAAAGATTCACAGCGAAGAAGATATCAAGTCTAGTGCACTGAGCCAAGTACAATAAAGCACCAATTGCACTTAGGTTCCAAAATCTCTTCCTCATCCTCCTTTGGATGGAAAGGATCTTGTTTATCATCTAGAGTCCGAACAACCATGGGTGTACTCGAAGGCTTCGCTTTATCCTCATTAAAACGTCGCAACACTTTTTGGGTGTAGTTCGATTGATGTACTAAGATTCCATTCGAACAATGCTCGATCTCCAGGCCAAGACAGTATCGAGTTTTCCAAGATCCTTCATCTCAAATTTCGATTTTAAGTGTGTAGCAATTTCCTCAAGCTCTGTGGAAGTCCCGATAAGGTTCATGTCATCGACATAAACTACAACGATTGCAAATCTGGAATGTGACTTCTTTATGAACACGCATGGGCATAATTCATTGTTCACATAACCCTGACTTGTCAAATATTCACTCAGACGGTTATACCACATCCGCCCGGATTGTTTCAATATGTAGAGTGACCTCCTCAACCTAATTGAGAGAGTGTTTTGTGGTCTAGAACTATTTGAACCAGTCAATGGAAGTCCTTCTGGAACTTTCATGTATATTTCTGAATCTAGATCCCCATAGAGATACGCGATTACCACGTCCATAAGTTGCATATTCATTTTTTCGGTAAACTACCAAACTGATTAGGTAGCGAAATGTTATAACATCCATTACGGGGGAATACGTCTCCTCATAATCAATCCCAGGGCACTA